TATTAAATTAACCGAATCAGATAATGTAAGAATTTAGTTAGTAATATTTGACTAATAGTCGGTAGTTTAAATTTAAAGTTGACATTTACTGCCGTATGCTAGTGTGTTAGTTCCTGAACGCTCCACCAGTAAATGAATATACACGCGCAAAATGTGTTTAACGTGGTCCAATAAAAGTGGTGGCCGCACAAAGCCCCAATCTGTCGGCGGCAAATGTCATTGTACAGCTAAACGGTACCACACTACTTTTGTTGTGATAATATTTCTATTGGGAGGACAAAAGCGCGGGAATGAGCTGTGGATTGCGCGGGTGTCCTTCTATTGTCCCACCCTTCCAAGATATCAGCTGTTATTGAATACGTCACTACATGCTTATATTGCGCCCCTTATAATCACAGAGTCCTTAGTGATTACAATTCACCCCAGGGCGTTCAATCTGGGTAAAGAATAGTCTTAATTAATGAGTAGACCCTTCCGGGAAAATTATGTGACTGTTTCATTATTGTAATTACGAAGTTCATTAACACATTGACAAAAGGATTAAGCCTTTACACATTGAAATATAACATAACTTATTTAGTTATAAAGTCTCACTAAGTACTTGTGGTTGGAACCAACGAAAACTAGCGTTTCCCTATCTTAGTCCCTTGTGGCTACTTAAACCATGTTAATGAATAAAATTGATATCGTGCTAAAGATGTAATAGATGCATTATTACTTTCTCCCCATGTAACATAAACATAGTACATAACATGGTACATGGTACATAACATGTAACATGTGTATGTAGAAATTATTGTTTTCGTCTAGATTTGAGTTTCAGTTCTGGGTAGAGATATCAGTTTAGGGTTCCTCTGAACCTAAAACAGTGGTTTTCGAAGTGATGAGTGTGTAATAGTTGTGTGCAGAGCTACGGATCACACCTGTGGTCTGATTTTGATCAAATTTGGTATGAAAATCTGTAATATCTCCAGCCTTTTTTATTGTTAAAAGTTTTTATTTTAATAGTTATTTTGACATAAATCAAAGGAATAACGGCTCGAATGATTTTTGTTAAAATTTAGTATGACATAGCATTGTAACTTTAAAAGAAATATTACAACCATCATTAAATTAAAATTAGGCTACAAAAAGTGTTTGCAGTTTATGCAATTTTATCATAGAAACCCATAAAGTAACGGAATCTGATTCAAAAAATGGCTTGACCGATGTTGATTAAATTGAGTACGTTTGGCCCTTTTCCTCCAAACAAGATGGTGAAACCCCAATTGATGTAAAAATTATGGTTTAACAGTTCCTGCAACTTTAGAGATTTCCCCCATAAAATATTATGGGGAAGTTACTAACACCGCTTTAATCACGATTAGTTAGGGTTGTGGACAAGCTAATGGGAGAAAGTATATGTCAGATTGCTGATACCTTTTAATATGTTAAGTGAATATTGTATAGTATCAGTAGACTATAAGTACATCACGCAAAAAAAAAAAAAAAAAAAAAAAAAAAACTTAGGTCTTACAAAAATGAAATTTATTACAATTATTTTTATTCTAAAGGTTGAGTGTATTTTTAAGTATTTGCTGCAATGTATTACAAAATATGTGATATAAATGTATTTGTATGTAGGATCTATTATCGCTTCGCAGAACAATTTCACTTTTTTTAAATTTATAACTGATGAATCTTCTACAGCAACTAATTTAAAAAGGAAAGTCTTGGGCATCAAGTTAATAACCTTCAATTATAACACTAATACACTATAAATACTATATATTTTGTTAATGTTAGACTACATTATTAATACAAGATGTGAAGGAATTGATCTTTAATCATCTATCTAATCAATGATTCGAGGCAGTAATCAATCCATATGGCAAGCAGATATTATCTATCCAACACACTACATACAGATCACCATCTATCTGATAGCTTGTTCTGTTCTGCATAATAGAACTTTCTCAATACTGATACACCCTGGGGATCAACCGCCTCAAGCCGACTGTCACATGCAGTCGAAAATGACATCATATTGTCGATGTATCAGCAAATCTGTGAAATGCTTCTTCCTAAATAACAGTATTGACCTACCAGTGTTTTCAATTAAATCATTCTTCCTCGATAAGTAATAAGTACTGGGCAATTTCCTGATAAGAATGGCCCTGTAAAGAAGACGCTAAAAGACAAGCCATACTACAGGCTACAAGAATCATTCAATGCAAAATGATAGTCATCGTACGGCAGATTCTTCCACCGCCATAGTACAAAATTCAAAGTTTTTTCAATCAATGAAAGTTTTTATTTTTAAAAAGATCTTATAGTATTAGATGCAACCTATTAACAACGCCTCTGATGGTCTTGGTAAAGGTGGAGGTAGGTACTGTAATCATCCCACGAAGAGGTTGCTATTTTTGAATACTTTGATAGATAATACTTCAAACTTTATAAGTTATTATGTTACAGTTGTATTTTTGGACTGACTTTCCATCTTACTATAAATACTATAAACGCTATTAGACCTTAACAAAAAACTATGATTTTTTCAATATTTCTCACTATTCAGGTTACTATATTGTATATGGCAATGTCTATGATGTCTTGAAATTATTAATAAACTTCTTCATATAAAATATGGATGGGATCATGGTTTAAAAATTATAAGCAAGGTTCAATAAGAAATTGTTTTTATTGATTATGGTGTTGGAATAATTTATCTAGAAAACACATTTCCACAAATCATAAAAATTTTTCATGAAAATATACACTGACAACAAAAGGACTAGCACAAAATCTTTGCAATATTCATACTATGTACAAATAGAGAGCTATATATACAATCTATATGCATACAAACTGCTTATACTATATAATTGAGATGAGTGGGTTGTGCATCTATGTAGCTTAACTATGAGCACCAGCTTCAATTTATCAAGAGCCCCTATCAAAAAAATACAAATATACAAATAAATAAACTTTACATTAAATAATATTTACAAAACAAGGCTGCTATTTATACTATAATTGCATCACATATGGTAAACAGTGATTACCTTATTATCGGCAATACAAAGGACAAAAGGGGTTAAAAAAAAATATTCAATATAAAGGATAACAGGTTATTTCTTTAAACATATCTTCCTGTAACATATAATGCATGGATTTAACATAGATTTTCTTTTCTTTTTATAATTAATTTATATAATGTACTACCATAAGTATTTTATCAAATTTAAAGCTTACTGGTAAAACAATGTAAATAAATAATCCTACAAACATTGTGTTTCTTTGAGAATGTTATCCTCTTCTACAATGCATGTAATAAATATTTCTTTAAAAACAATAAACAGTCAAAATACTTGATGAAAAAGCTAAACCTGCACTTTTAAATTACAGTATACCTCACCGAGATCAACATTTGAGGATATGCTGTTCATAAAATCAACATGTTAAAATATTTGCTCAATATAATTTTATCCGGCTTCATTTTTCCTTTGTCCAACAATTTATTGTAATGCATGATTATTGTTAAAGTCAGTTAAAAAGAATAAATTGCAAGCTTGAACAATAAAAATCTTTCCTGTTATTAGCTTAAATACGTCTCACTAGAAAATATTCTGGTTTCAGTATGTAGAAATTACTCTGGGAACTAGTTATGCACAAGTGGTACAACTAAGTACAGGTCAAACAAGTTATAAGTTAAAAAAATATTCATTTAACACTACATAACCCACCATGAGGACTCCGTTACACAACCTATTTCAGTTCTAAAATAGTTTTGTACCTAATCTGTTTCTGATACATTTCTATTTCAACGACCTTAATGCTAAGTTTTTTTTTCGTACGAAAACTTGTGTGTATGTATAGGTGAGGAGGTGTGAGAAAGAGAAGAGATAGAAAGAGAATATTTAAGAGAAGTCACTAAACTATCGAGCTCTAAAGTTCTAGATCCAGATGAAACTAGATGATTTATTTACAAGTCCCTTGCACTGGCCCTATGTACAATATCACACTAAACACCTACAATTCCTCCTTACATGCACTATACCTATATTATAAAATGTTTAGTCATTACTAAATGGACTGATAACAATTGAACAAGTTTTATAACTCAACTAAAACCAAAACTAAGGTTTAAAAATTCAAAGTTTCAAACATTGTATTTGCTGAATCTATTAAAGTTTAGAAGATTTCTTCCAGATTAACTTCTCATAAAAACTAAACATTCTTCTAAATATGTAGGCCTACATGAAAACAAAAGATGGGATGATCAAAATAATGATTTAGGCCTATCTATCTATACTAGCCTATTAGATAAGTAAAGTTTAAAAGTGATCACTTATTCAATAAAAAATTTATTTATGTTTTAATTTTGTAGTAATTATTATCTGAACAGTTAAATACCAAAATAATTTCAAAAGTGTAATTTCCCCCAAGACTTGATTTTTATAATCAAAATATAAAATAAAAATAACATTAAAAAAATGAATATAAGAAATCATTAGGGACTTTTTAAATCATACTCTACAGCTAAAAACTGTCTTTAAAGCATGAAGTTTATTGTATAAGTACCTGACACAAACCCTCCCAAAATACATTAATAGCAACAATCTATTTAGAATTACTTAACATCTGCTATAAAATTACACACACTCTTAGTGCTGTTGTAGTGTGACCCCAATATTACTTTTCTTTTATCAATCAAATATTTAATTCATAATGATGTGTATTCCTAATGTCCATTTTTTTAAATTAATCAGATGACTTGCACATTAAAGACTAATACGTTCTTATGTTAGTTCGATGTTGATGGACTGAAAAGTATAACATAATTTAAATTTTACTATGAAGGCTTTTACCTTAATTAATTTGAATGTCATCTGGCATGAAACATTTTATGCTAAAAAGATAAAATAGGCCTACTTAAAATCAATTTGATTTTTTAAAGTAGTCTTAAGCTTAAAGCCTTTTAAGTTAAAAAAAAAATTGAGTTGTACAGTTAATTGTGCCTCTTAAATGTAGAGTTCTAAAAAATATAATTTTTTATTCAGTAGGCTACTGTCTTAAGTTTCAAATCTACTAAACTGTGATAAAATAAAAATTTAAAGAAAGGTTTTTTCTTCAGTAACAAATCTACTATACAAAAATATACTTACATTCATTTAACTGTACACTATACACAAATTAAAATGTTACACACTCAATATGATAGTACCTAATACAGTTTAGTAGATTTGCTTTGGAAAGATACCTGTTCACAATGAGAATCATTCTTTTAAATACATATTTTATTATTTGTAGCGCTTTTTAAATGTAAAGTGTAAAATATATAACAATAATTAAGAAGAACAATAACCAAGATAAAATTCAATACAATAATTTGAATAAACACTCTAAGAAATTGGTAAAAATGATATTTTTGAGAATATTTCTACAGTTTCTAAAGATCGCAGTCTTATATCGCATGGAAGGAAGAACTGTTGATGGATGTTGGGGTGTGTCGTGTACTATGAGAGTACGAGGTCTGAGGCGTGTGTTGACAGTCTGTGGTCCTTGCGCCCGCGGGTGCTGCCCTGCCCTCCACCCGAAGTGTTGTTGCTGTACCCGGAGTCTGAGTCGTGACTCGTAGGCTTGTTGGGCCGGAACGTCGTCATGGGATGGTGCTGGTGGAGGTGGCTTAGCACAGGAACACTCTCGTACGGGTTGACGTGAGTCGGGCCTGGGTTAGGGACGGGAAGGATGTAAGGCAGTCTGTGGGGATCGTGCGGTTGAGGCTGGTTTATACCCCCCTGGTTCACCCCCACTACATTTGGATAAAACTGCAACAGAGCGTCCAGTAAAAGTCCTTCGTGAAATTCACCGCACTCCGGTCCTTTATTTCGCCAGTTTCCGCCACCCCGTCTCCTGTCCAAACTCCTAGGTCTGTGTCCGCTCTGACCTCTATGAGACCTAGGCACTCTATTTCTATGTCCCGGAGGTAAACTTAGGTTTCTACTACACAGAAAGCGACTGCGGTCGTCAGCGTCTGATGAGTCTATGTCGCGACACAGATCGTTGCCGGTGGACCCTTGTAGAGAGCTGGTCGGGGACACAGGTCCGCCGCGACGTCCACCACCTTCTCCGACACTCAGCTCATCCTCCGCAAACTCGTCCTCACTACGGGGACCTCCCTCACTGTCTCCTTCAGACTCCCCTCTCTCTCCTGAACCTGTCAAACACATTATTGTGAAGATTAGATGTGTTCATATTTTTACAGCAGAAAATGAAAATATCTATGGTTTAATATCCATCTAAAAAATCATTTAGCTTCTTAAACACTTAACTTTTTTGATTTGAAAGAATAATTTATTTTTTATATGAAAAAGTTTAGCAACTGAACCGTGTACATATCACAATAAGAAACTCTTTAACGAGTAGCATTAGTGAAAACTCGCTGTAATTTTAAAATTTCACACGTCTACATATTCTATTGTTTTGTAATGGCAAACAATAACAGTTGCTAATAAAGAGAGCAATCACACGTGGACCTGAAATGAGCACTGATCCCCACACGGAGCAGTATAAATGTTTAACTGACCAACAACGGTGTCTGGCTGATGTTGTATATTACACTTGTGGTTGCCACACTAAGTTTAGCCAATGTAACTTCAACACGATGTTCTCCTCCTTGTCTCTAATTAATTACACTTCTAATTGGGAACAATTTAGGGTAAATTATTCAGATGAACCGTTTTGTCTGGTAAACTTGTAATGTAACTCCAATCAAACACTTGAGATTCTTTTCCTCTGTATGTACCTACTGAACAATTTTATACTAAAAACATATCTGAGAGGTTACGATTTTCAATTTGTATCTTGTCATGTAGGAAGTTTGTTGCTCAAAATTGTGTATTAAATATTTAACACAGACCAATTGAACCTTCTAAAATAAAATATATTAAATATTTTATACTGTCAATAAGCAAAGAATTAGGAAGGATGGAAACATCCAAGTAACAAAAAATAATTCTCAAGTAAATATTCAAATGTCCATTGTTTGTATGGCCATGACCATGTCTGAGATAGGTACTGGTACATACCATTTGAAAGCTCTTCGTAGACAGGGTTGTAGAGATCCTGTGAGGTGTACTGGTCTGGCCGTGGGGGACAGATGAACACAGGGGAGTGAGAGTGGTTTATCACAGGGTATGCACAGTGGTTGGCAAAGTTGCCCCTGGACTTGACATCTAGCATCTGGAACACAACATAACATCCTGTAAAACTTCTGGTTGTTGTCAAAATGCCACCGTAAAAACAAAATGAGAATACATTTTCATATTATATGATAAACATAAAATAATTGTTTTTACAGTTAAAATGATTACAAGGTTTACTTTTAAACTATTTGATTTAATGAGTTTTGGATATTCAAAATAACTAGTTGTACCTATGGTATCAGAAATGCTAACTATATACTGTATGTGTTTATTTTGTTGTAATTTCCCAAAAGTAAAACTGTATACACACTATGTATTCTACTTTTTTACCAGAGAAAAATCGCCGATGGGGGCTTTTTCAAAATGGTGTTTAGACTCACTTGTATGAACCCTAATTGTTTCTGTAGCTGTATAAACATTCTGACATTAATTAGTAAGACAAACATTTTTGTTTGTGTTAAATTACAAGATTGAAGTTGATTTTTATAGTTTTTAAGAGTTAAAAATTAATTGGTCTTATTCAAGGAATAACGAATTAATGGATAAAAAAGTCAGGGTAGCATACAACGAGTCCTTTGAGTCCAACAATATACAGCTTGATTAAAGATTAATGTTGCAAAACATTGAACAAACAATGATTATTACTGTTTATACAAATTCATGGTGATTCAGAATTTAATTAGGAACATTAAAAGAGTGGATCTCAACACTAATAGCGGCATTATATATATTCCAACATAACCCTAGTAATCCTAATCCCGTTGTATTGCCGGGGCTTTGCTATTTGTTGTTCCAATGATGAACGTCCAGTTGTTCTGTTGTATATTCCCAGTTCAATTATTTTAACTGGTACAACAGGGAAATCAACAAAGTGTCAATACTTGATGCAATAATTTATCCTAACTAATCGTCTTCAAAAGAACTCCTGAAACCGTTGCTAAATCTATTTTATTAATATTGTTTGACTTTAATGCTTTAATTAAACACTTTGTCACGTTTCTATTCCATTCTAACTGCAACATTATAGGATCACCTTAAACTATATTTTTAGTAAAAAAAAATACTGATTAATATTTGTGAAAGCCTCAAATATACTTAGTTCATAAACTTTAAAATAGAGAGTTTTAGTTAAAGCTAATATCTCATAACCTTTACAATGGTTAATATAACTCATGATTTTGTATGAAAATAAATTTTACCTACGACCGTTTTTTAAAGTAGCCATTTCAGTCCAGTTCGTAGAATTGAAAAGTTTCACTTTACAGCTGTTTACTTTTAGTGCGTGGAACAAGTGTAAAAATCTTTCACTTCCGGAGACCAGCACCAAACTTTGGGAATCGACTAAATACATGTAAAAGAGTGAAAATCAGCCGGGAGGCAAGCTTTAAAATAATTAGGTCACGGGCAGTGACGTCATCAAAATGGCCGCTCAGCCAATAATAATAATGTCGCATATCTCGGGAACCACTTAACCGATTTTGATGTATGACATCTTATTTGAAAGGTCTAATCATTTCTATAAAAAATTTTATTACACTTTTAGCGGTTAAACCAACGGTTTCTTTGTATTTTAGAAAATATAAATTTTTTACACCCCACAAAATGGGTTTTTAGATTTATTATTTGGAAAAATTAAAATAATCTAAATTTACTTTCCACCGTTGAATCCAGCTTTAAAAGATGAACAATTTAGTATTTTGAATCATCACTCTATGTATATTGGTTACCGAGATATTGAAAGTAGTAAACACAGAACACTCTGTCCCCCATGTTATCCTTATGGGAAAAATAACATTCTATATCTCAGTTATTTTTTAACGTATCTTAATACAACTTGGTATGTGGTTTCACCTAGTTGAGCTACTTGATAGTGACTATAAAATATTTATATTTTAAATTTACATGGCAGCAAACCTACATACTCATTTCCCATATTATTCAGATGGCGAATATTTATGCATGATTATTTATGAACATTGTACTGTACTTTCTTAGCTTTTCCTTACTTTACAGCTTTAGACCTTTTCGGGAGTTTTCAGGACTCAGATTGACTGAACACTTGTAGGAATTATGATACATTTATTACTCTCAGAACTGATTAAAAAAATATTGACAAATGACTTCTACTTCGAAACCCCACAGACCGGGGCAATCTATTAGGCGGTCCCTTGACGTCTTGGTCGATCGGCTCGAGACCCCTCTGTCCCGTTTTGCTGTCCTGGGTTCCCCACGTTGGTTCTCCTTCCTGACGCTGTCCCGTCGTAGCGGCTCACAGATGTGTTATCGACACGGCTCCTGCAGTCCTCCAACTGGCACTGTCTCGGAAAATGCTGAGCGGATTACTATCCCAAACGCAGCAGCTACCGTCGGTGTTGCCCGTTCCGTTGGCAGATGCAGACTGCCGTCTCTCCCAGACAACTCTTTCTCTTCTTAAATAGTGGAGTTGGGCCTCTTCATCCCCCTCCAGACGGATCCATGGTCCCGGGAGACAGTTTTTTTGGCCACCGGGGACTTAAACTGAAATAAAACGGATGCCGGGGCGCAAGACGCCTCTAGTTCAGGGTGTACCGGGCTCAGCACGCCTCTAGTACTGGGGTGTGCCGGGCTCAGCACGCCTCTAGTGCGGGGGTGCCGGGGCTCAACACGCTTCTAGTGCATACCCCACCAGTGGCGCCTACCGACGGGGTCGGGCCCGGAGGCCCAACATGTCGAAATCCCCCAAGAATGCTCCTTATAGGGTCGTAACTCGTAAGATGCTTGGAGAGTGGGGGTAAGTACCCAGTATCCGCCCCCGGCCGAAAGTCCTGGGCACTTTTCCCTAATAACTTTCCCTCAGTACTTTTCCCTCGAGTCACTGAGCACCATTCCTCGGTGCTTTGGTGTTTTAGCCCATATTACATTACCCAACCTTAGCCTTCTTAAACACTTCAATACAACATATGCTGTCAAAACTTGACGTTAAGCGTAATTTTAATTAATTATCGAAGTATTTGAAATTTCCTGAGTATGCAAGTTTTTAGTATTTTGTAGGTGGATTTTATATCAAATTGAGAGCAACTTAATCTTGTCTTGAAATAGTTCGTGCCCCCGTCTGAATTATTTTCGGAATTTGTCTGGGGGAGATTCTCATCCAAGCATATAATACCAAGGCGTGGTTTTTTTCTTGGAAATTGAGACGGATCTTTTGACACCTCAAACGTTGAAATTGGCCCACAAATAAGGGAGGAGTAGTGTTAACAAAAACGACTTCACGTTTTATATACAATAAATATATCATATTTTTTTTTTAATTTTTTAAAGGGAAATAACAGACACGCCAAGCCGTATTTCGCATACTATTCTTCAGTTAAATACAAAGATTAAATAAACAGCCTAATGATATGTAATAATATGTTTAAGTGAGGAATCCACTGTCCAAAGCCTGAAATGCATACTATTCTTCAGGTATGGTGGCCACAAAAAAACAATCCAAAACTATGTTTTGAAAAGCCCAAAAAATGTTGCCCCAAAAATAAAATTACTATGAATATTATATTCTTCAGGTAATCACTTTAAAAATCTAAACGATCAATAACTATGTTTTAGGAAGCACAACAGACGTCAAACCCTATATAAAAATTACTAGAAAAATGTAAACTCAAAAGAAACATAAACAACACGTTATTAAGGATTTTATCACGTTTCTTATTCAACAATTGTGACAAATTGCCATCAGATCTCTTGTCGGTTATCAGTCTGACCAACCCAGGAAAAAAATATTTCCCAAAATAAAATTACTAATATTTATAAAACCCCCGTTGCAGTAGACCTGCATACTCAGTGAGTTTCAAATGCTTAGATAATTAATTAAAATTAAGCTCAACGTCAAGTTTTGTCAACATATGTTCATAAATAATCATGCATAAAAATTCACGATACGAATAACATGGGAAATGAGTATGTAGGTTTGCTGCCATGTATATGTAAAATATAAATATTTTATAGTCATTATCAAGTAGCTCAACTAGGTGAAACCACATACCAAGTTGTATTAAGATACGTTCATAAATAATCATGCATACAAATTCGCGATACGAATAACATGGGAAATGAGTATGTAGGTTTGCTGCCATGTAAATGTAAAATATAAATATTTTATAGTCATTATTAAGTAGCTTAACTAGGTGAAACCACATACCAAGTTGTATTAAGATACGTTAAAAAATAACTGAGATATAGAATGTTATTTTTCCCATAAGGATAACATGGGGGACAGAGTGTTCTGTGTTTACTACTTTCAATATCTCGGTAACCAATATACATAGACTGATGATTCAAGATACTAAATTGTCCATCTTTTAAAGCTGGATTTAACGGTGGAAAGTAAATTTTGATCATTTTAATTTTTCCGAATGATAAATGCAAACCCCCATTTTGTGGGGCGTAAAAAATAAATATTTTCTAAAATACAAAGAAACCGTTGGTTTAACCGCTATAGGTGTAATAACCTTTTTTATAGATAATGATTAGACCTATCAAATAAGATGTCATACGTCAAAATCGGTTAAGTGGTTCCCGAGATATGCGACATTATTGTTATTGGCTGAGCGGCCATTTTGATGACGTCATTGCCCGTGATCTAATTATTTTAAAGCTTGCCTCCCGGCTGATTTTCACTCTTTTACATGTATTTAGTCGATTCCCAAAGTATGGTGCTGGTCTCCGGAAGTGAAAGATTACTAGGTAATATGTTGCTTGTTCCACGCACTATTTCATATCCGTATAGTTTCATTTCATATCCGCATAGTTTTCTCATATCCACACAGGTAATGGACCAATGAGGTTCAAGTATTGAAAGAAAAGAATTAAAATTGTAATGCTTCGAACGTCAACTAATCAGCTGATCAGCTGATCAGTTGACCAATTTAATTGTTGATCCGAGTTGTTCATGTTGATACTCGCGTATTCTTAATTAAAATGGTGGAAGTCCAAAAATAAATGAAATATTTGCCGAATTGTACCTGATACAATATAATTTATGGTAAGAATGCTGCTAGCAATGTAATATTTAACGAAGTTTAACAAACACGTAATTACAGGAAATCAGCTGATTATACAACAAGTCGTTGCATCACTTTCAGTGGCAATGACAATACACGAAAACATAACCTCTCTAAAAAGTTATCAGTAGTGATTGTTAGTAATTAAATCCAGATTGATAGTAATTAAAAAACGGTCGTAGGTAAAGTAGTGTACGCAACTCGCGTTAATAGTCTTTACGACACTCGTAGAAGTTTTTAAGGCACTCGCCAAGGCTCGTGCCTTAAATTTTCTACTCGTGTCGTAAAGACTCACTTAACGCAATCGTTGCGTAAACTACTAATCCTTAACATGTTTAAAGTACAGGCAAGTATACACTACACAAATATATTGTATTATGTAAAGAAAGCATAAATACATTTGTCAAACGTGGATGACTGACATTAATATCTGAATTGTAACTAGACACTTAATCCCATTGTTAAAGTTGTCCATTAAGTAGTTAAATTGAACCACGGAAGATTGCAACTGTAGCACATATCTACCTCAGCAAAATAAAAAAAGGAAATAGTATTTCGACAATACTCTATGAGTGGTTCATTAAACTATATTCTTATAAAGTACAAAATTTGTGACATCATATAAATTGGAGGTCTACTTCAATACCCAAAAGTTAATGGGATGAATCAATGTGAAATATGTTTGCTTAGCCTATCTCACTCTATATGTATCTACAGTAGTAATCTGCTGATGGTTACCTCCATGGAGGGCTGAGGCAGATTGCGAGGCCTGATGTTGGTCAGATCCTCATAGATGACGCCATTACCATGAGTGACGTCACATACGTTTGCTTAGCCTATCTCACTCTATATGTATCTACAGTAGTAATCGGCTGATGGTTACCTCCATGGAAGGCTGAGGCAGATTGCGAGGCCTGATGTTGGTCAGATCCTCATATATGACGCCATTACCATGAGTGACGTCACATACGTTTGCTTAGCCTATCCCACTCTATATGTATCTACAGTAGTAATCGGCTGATGGTTACCTCCATGGAGGGCTGAGGCAGATTGCGAGGCCTGATGTTGGTCAGATCCTCATATATGACGCCATTACCATGAGTGACGTCACATACGTTTGCTTAGCCTATCCCACTCTATATGTATCTACAGTAGTAATCGGCTGATGGTTACCTCCATGGAGGGCTGAGGCAGATTGCGAGGCCTGATGTTGGTCAGATCCTCATATATGACGCCATTACCATGAGTGACGTCACATACGTTTGCTTAGCCTATCTCACTCTATATGTATCTACAGTAGTAATCGGCTGATGGTTACCTCCATGGAAGGCTGAGGCAGATTGCGAGGCCTGATGTTGGTCAGATCCTCATATATGACACCATTACCATGAGTGACGTCACATACGTTTGCTTAGCCTATCTCACTCTATATGTATCTACAGTAGTAATCGGCTGATGGTTACCTCCATGGAAGGCTGAGGCAGATTGCGAGGCCTGATGTTGGTCAGATCCTCATATATGACACCATTACCATGAGTGACGTCACATACGTTTGCTTAGCCTATCTCACTCTATATGTATCTACAGTAGTAATCTGCTGATGGTTACCTCCATGGAGGGCTGAGGCAGATTGCGAGGCCTGATGTTGGTCAGATCCTCATATATGACACCATTACCATGAGTGACGTCACATACGTTTGCTTAGCCTATCTCACTCTATATGTATCTACAGTAGTAATCGGCTGATGGTTACCTCCATGGAGGGCTGAGGCAGATTGCGAGGCCTGATGTTGGTCAGATCCTCATATATGACACCATTACCATGAGTGACGTCACAGCGGTTCTGTGGCGAACTCTTGCACGGCAACAAGTTCTGCATCTTCTTTTTGTGCCTGAAATGTCAGATGGATCAATAAAACCGTGAACTCAACTTAAAGACAATAGTTAGATTAAGAACAGCATAGCTGCCGTGTGCAACAATAATGAAATCTTATTACCTGATTTGTCATTTGGTCAGATTGCCACCAATACACACGTATGTGTATTGTAAAGGCTGCATCCAACATTAATAATAATACTTTAAAGAATAAATTATCACATTTTTTTACAAGCCCTAATTTCAATAGCTTTACATTTGTAAATGATGTTATAGGTTGTTATAGGTCAACTGTGCATTTTTGTTAGTACGATGCAAAAGATAATCCCACTATTTCCTCGTTTTCGAAATGTTTTGTAGGTGACGGAGTTATTTTTCTTTTACGCGACCATACGTAGTATACGCTATAGTATCATAAACTTATAAACACGACATATTACCACTTCTATGGTAGCCTATACTATCCAACTGTAAACCAAAACCAAACGGAATGTGGGTTTAAGACGAGCCGATTACCGCGCTCCACAATCAGTTAAAGTAAACTCTCTGCTTTGAAAGTTTGAGAGTTGAACTGAAATATCGTTAATGCAGAGTCTATCCGCTAAGGCAAACGTCAACTGTCGCTATTTCCATATGAAACTATTAGGAACAATTACTGGATGAATAATGTAAATGGCTGATAGAATTATCGGGGTAAGTACGGGATAACTTTCTGCGTTATATGGTAATGCGCGTTTGCATATGTAACGTGTTTTTGAAGTGGTTATTAACATAGTCAGGAGCCCTCCCCATGTGTGAAGGTGTTAGCCGCCTCGGCACACAACAACACTCGCGGTTCTTATCATTCTACAGAATAACTACAAGAGCAAAACAGTTGGGGATGACTATGTTAGGAAGTAGCATTTCAAATCACGATTGAATGGCGATATAAAGAAATGTTCAGTTGATTAAAAACACAAAGTTAAAATATAACTGTAATAATTGTTAGGATTTAAATCCAGTTAAACACTATATCAACTCCATTTCATTTCAGGTTTAGTCAAACAATAAGAGGTTTGTAAGAGTCTGTAAGGTGGAGTTAATTATCTCGTACGGATATCCTGAATAAGAAAGACTTTCTCAGTATACAAATACCCTTTAAACATAAACAGTTCAATATTTCTCACTGATAGATTTTCAAATTCGTAACACGTACTCGATTCTAATTAGTGTTTACTTATGACTCGTCCTTTAAAATCTCGATTAGATTTGTAATTCCGCTGTAAACACGTAAGAGGGAGTTTTAGTTTTGCTGTTATTTATCTTCGCCGACTAAAGTGGTTGGCTTTTGACTTTGACCGGTGTTCTGACAAAATGCCCTTTTGCAAACTAATGGGCATCAATTAATTTCTCTTTCGCTTTTATTGAAAATGTTCGCCTCTCCCATCCACTGAGTGGTGATGTTTACACGACGCGAATCAAAGGCTCCAAACAGCACATGGGCGGAATGTTATCTGAGCTTCGATTATTGCCGCTCCAATTTCCGACCCAGAGTACTTTGTAGGGATCAGAAAAGTTAAATGAGGAATACATTTCAATTTATTTAGCTGTTAATTACCGGTAGATTGTTGTTCATTCGCAATTACCGTATTACCGGTTGTGATTAAGAGGAAGCACAAACGGGTTCATTATGTCAAATTATTAACCATACCATTAACATCTGAGTTGTATGACATTATAAATGTGTATGTATATCTCGTGAAAATAAACTCGAGACAATTTATCACGCAAAATATTTCCAGGATTTTGTATCCTCGAAGGACAAAACCATCCATCATGACGGATACATTAGCTGACTTACCTGTCGAAAGTAAAATCAAGGGAAAGAGTTTGTGAACAGGTTGTATTGAGATTGATTTGTCTTAAATATAAATAAGTTTTATATTTTAAATATAAGTAAGTAATGCAAAATACATTTTAAAACAAGTAGGCAATTGTTTTATTTATGTGTACGTATCAGAGGTACATGCACAATATTTAGCTTTTAGGTTGTTTAACAAAGTACCATCAGTTACTTAATGCAGTAACGAGTACAGTACGTTTATGTATCTTGTGCAATCTCCATGATTATCATCATCTACTCGACCACTGAGGACTAATAGTTCCCAAGTTGTGAGAAATGACAGTATTTCTTTAAGGAATGCGTTTTGCAATATTGATTTTACTGTATTTAGAATTTTATTATCATTCAATTTTTATATCCACGGCTAATTTATCTTCATCTCCATCCCAAGTTTGAGAACTACTGTATAACGGAGCGACTATTATGTTACAATCCAGGAGTAATTGTTGGGAGATATGACACAATCAAGACTGACCGCATAACCCTGCTAGCTCTACTAATCACTAATTGTAATTATAATACTGTAATGTGCTGATTTAGAATACTTACTTCCAGACTAGAGCGGTGGCTACGAGCAGCAAGGAAATGATGAGGAGCGCACATATCACTATAACAACAAGGGGCGGCATGGCAGGGCTGCTGTGGTACTCGTTAGCGTCTATCACCTACAACATACAACATATGCCTGCTGTACAATGCAATAACACACATCCTAAATACTCAAATGTGATAGACATTTCTTTAAGAAAAACCTAAAGGAAATTTCACAATTCATTACCAATTCCAGCTGTGGCGATGGTAAAAATTACATTTTATTTTGCAATTTTGTAATACAGCACTAACTATTGGATACTAGTCAAAGATTGGTCATAGTGAATGAAATCATAGTAGATTGAACAAAACGGAGGTGTTCTCTATTTATTGAGTAGTATTAGACTGTTTTAAAAGTGCAGTGTATCAAAACCAATTTACAGTATATTAATTCTGTTGATCTGAACTTCGTAACGTTCCAATCCAGTGAGTTGAAACCCTACTGGACTGAGGCTGTTTTAGGACTTCGCCCTCTTCAGCCGTTTATTCGGTTTTGTTTTATTATTTTAATGTGTATAATACCAATCAATGTCGTTGTTTTTATGTACCCGAAACGTTGAAATTACGTAAAAGTGATGATTAGAAGAATTTTGGGCGATTTTCAGTGGTTTGGGCGATACTTACAGTCATTGCGTCGCAGGTCTCGATCTCCATAGGAGTCTCGGTACAATCTGCGACCTCGTGGAGGAAAGGCGGCCTCGGCGGCGGTGGCAAGTGGAACACAGGTGGAGGAGGACCAGGACAATCACACTCGTAGTCGGCGCTGTCCATGTCCCAGAGAGGGGACAGCGAGGAGTCAGTGTCTGCTCCCATCCCAGACACCTCCTGTAACACATACACCACGTTAGACACAAGTGTAACACAGGTGGAGGAGGACCAGGACAATCACACTCGTAGTCGGCGCTGTCCATGTCCCAGAGAGGGGACAGCGAGGAGTCAGTGTCTGCTCCCATCCCAGACACCTCCTGTAACACATACAACACGTAAAATGGACACAAGTGTAACCCAGATAAAGGAGGACCAGGACACTTGTACTTCACTACCTCGTGCAATCTACCCTTGTAACATCGAACACTCTTGATATCGATGAGATAAGTCGGTCCTAGCTCAGTACAGGGTAAGTCAATGCGAATTGAAATGCAGGTGCAGCACGTTTTGCAGTTTAACGCTCCACAAACGACAGTAATGTTGCCCCCGCGACTATTTACGTACTCAAAACCAACTCGGAGGGTACTACCACCAGTGCCAATAACACATTCCTCACAGCCAGACGCCGTTCATTTTTCTAATTTAATGCATCATAAATGACATATAATGGAGGATAATTATTAAAATGGGCTCTGAAGATGGAGGGGGGAGGAAGTAAGGGTTATAAACGAAGCCGGTAACTTACATCCAATTTGCAAGGTTAACCAGCGGAACGACGACGCGACGCACGGAGGTGAGCTTCTACGCGGCTCTACAGTAGAATGGCGCGCACCACAGTCAGTTTATAGCCTAATTATCTACTTAGGTTAGTAAGTAGGACCACACTGGGGCGTCCTACCTTCTAATTAACACAAATTTATGGAAAGGTCCAATTGAGGTGGGAGAACTGTGGCGGATTTACGAGGACGATGAGACCGCGCGGTAGTGACTGACTAGTGACTAGTGAGCGGTTCACGACGCAGGACCAGCCTACAACCGCTTCATTTGGACTATTTATCGTAGTATAAAATTTAATTGTTCGCTCAGACACAAATGAAGCAATTAAGTGGTCCGGTAGTAATGAAGCCGAACTAATTATGTTTGGAGTTTATTGACCTATTAAACACCGCAGGAAGCGAATAATTACTATTCACATCTATATCTTTCGCGGGAACTCTGCTTAAGAACATTGGATACATAATGTTTGGGTCAGATTTATTAATACAACGTCACCCCAATAGTCTTTCACATCGCCGTTTCCTAATTCTCACTAATTAAATCAAACACGGTTGCCACTTGATTCCCTCAATTAAATAATAATTTATGTGGAATTTATACAGAGCATATTTAACTGTTTTAAAATTATTAAACAATTTCTTTGAAGAGCCCAAACTTAAGTTATCCGGCCTCCAAGGCTCTAATGGTAATGTAGCGTCCATGTTGATGAACTGTCGGTGAGAACTGTAATGCACTCATTGTGTCTGGCGCACTTTCATCCTTTAACCTTTTGTCCCTCACTTTTGTTTTGTTTGCTGACATAATTAGCACGACGAAACGCGAAATAAAAGGTAAAACGCTTGTTCTGTTTACGTGTTTGTTTTCATTTTACAAAAAGACTGAATCAGATTTTTTATGCTTGTGATTTAATTTTACCTTCCCCGACTTCATTGTTTTATGTGAAAAGCTGTTTAGCTCGATTGGTCCACTGAAAGACCGATTTTATGAACTTAAATTTGTGTACAACTTCATACAAATATAAACCCCGTTGGTATACAAAATAGCTTATTCCCTAAATGGGGGATTTGATAAAAGAAGATTGATTTGAAATGTGAGTAGACAACCGTTCACTTTGTAGCAATATGGGAATTCAGATACACTATTCAAATTTATCACAAAATAACGAAACCCATAAGGGTACGGACCCCACCTGAAGTAAAAACAAAACAAACATTCTTTCTTTAACATATCGTAGTCACTAAATCTCTAGACCGTTAGGCGATTGTAATCAACTGGGGTTATCCGTGTTTACCAAACACATATCATGTATTCTTAATAACGCCCAGCACTTGAAACCAATTTAGACCCGTACCACCACGGCACATTATTTAAATAAAGTTTTAGTCGAGCCTTATTATTCACGGGTCAGAAATGAGTGAGTGTCTCAGCTGGAGAGAAATACATTATTCAAGACGAAATAGACGTTTTTACTCTCGGCCTACTGAATATTCCTTTCAATACGGCTAAAATACATAGGATCCTATTAACGTGTTTGTCCGGGAGACGGAGTAGTTTCACGCGTGTTGCATTCGTAAGTGACGCCAAGTTGTAACAAGTGACTGCGTAGAACAAGAAGCGTTCACCGGAGCTGACAATTAATCGAACTACGTAGTAGCATTATTATTGGATACTGAAGTAGACATCCCATCTATATGGACCAGCTGTAGCCAATTTATTGTTAAAAAATAACGTAGTTGTGTGAGCCAGTCACAGAATGCGCTAGTGACTAAAACTATTTTCCACCTAATGTTTTGTTGCTGGCCAAGTTCATGGTTCATAATAACTGCTATAGATCACAATAAGTCTATCAATTAGTTTGAATGGTAAAAAAGGTTGTGTTTTTGACAGAAATAAGCAATTTAGATCAGCACAATCTGTCGGTGGCTCACATCAACTACAACAATTTTGTTTAAAAAAACTGGCCACAAATTTGACATGGAGATGGAATGTCTAGTACTAGTTAAGAATTTAATTATAGAAAAATAATAGAATTGATCTAAACCGTAATTTACATGATGAAAACGTGTTCGCAAAGAATAATAAAATTATATGTATACATATTGATAAGAGGAAAACCAAATATGGAATCATAAATTAAATAAATGCCATGTAGTTTTTGTGTATTTTTTTTTGTCCTACGCTAGGCAGAAGATCAGGATTGTTTTTCACATTACTTCAGGCTAGATCTAGGGGTTGCGGCATTATCACGTAGATAAAATCCATTGGTGATTTGTACTGAAGTCTCGCAAGCTTAACCACTAGACCAGCTCGCTCCCCCATCCGGGTAGTAAGAAAGATATTTATCTAAGAGTAATGCGGTAAGTGATTGCAGCCAGCATCAATCGCATACCATACTATGAGATGAGCACAGTACGTGTAGACCTGTACACTACGACAGTGAGGACGAGTGGTTGTGAGAAGGCTATTTGTCGAGGAGTGATGCGGTCGGTAAGTGATTGCAGCCAGCATCAATCGCATACCTCACTATGCGATGAGCACAGTACTTGTAGACCTGTACACTACGACAGTGAGAACGAGTGGTTGTGAGAAGGCTATTTGTCGAGGAGTGATGCGGTCGGTAAGTGATTGCAGCAAGCATCAATCGCATACCTCACTGTGAGATGAGCACAGTACATGTAGACCTGTACACTACGACAGTGAGGACGAGTGGTTGTGAGAAGGCTATTTGTCGAGGAGTGATGCGGTCGGTAAGTGATTGCAGCCAGCATCAATCGCATACCTCACTATGAGATGAGCACAGTACTTGTAGACCTGTACACTACGACAGTGAGAACGAGTGGTTGTGAGAAGGCTATTTGTCGAGGAGTGATGCGGTCGGTAAGTGATTGCAGCCAGCATCAATCGCATACCTCACTATGAGATGAGCACAGTACTTGTAGACCTGTACACTACGACAGTGAGAACGAGTGGTTGTGAGAAGGCTATTTGTCGAGGAGTGATGCGGTAAGTGATTGCAGCCAGCATCAATCGCATACCTCACTATGAGATGAGCACAGTACGTGTAGACCTGTACACTACGACAGTGAGGACGAGTGGTTGTGAGAAGGCTATTTGTCGAGGAGTGATGCGGTAAGTGATTGCAGCCAGCATCAATCGCATACCTCACTATGAGATGAGCACAGTACTTGTAGACCTGTACACTACGACAGTGAGAACGAGTGGTTGTGAGAAGGCTATTTGTCGAGGAGTGATGCGGTAAGTGATTGCAGCCAGCATCAATCGCATACCTCACTATGAGATGAGCACAGTACGTGTAGACCTGTACACTACGACAGTGAGGACGAGTGGTTGTGAGAAGGCTATTTGTCGAGGAGTGATGCGGTCGGTAAGTGATTGCAGCCAGCATCAATCGCATACCTCACTATGAGATGAGCACAGTACTTGTAGACCTGTACACTACGACAGTGAGAACGAGTGGTTGTGAGAAGGCTATTTGTCGAGGAGTGATGCGGTAAGTGATTGCAGCCAGCATCAATCGCATACCTCACTATGAGATGAGCACAGTACGTGTAGACCTGTACACTACGACAGTGAGGACGAGTGGTTGTGAGAAGGCTATTTGTCGAGGAGTGATGCGGTAAGTGATTGCAGCCAGCATCAATCGCATACCTCACTATGAGATGAGCACAGTACATGTAGACCTGTACACTACGACAGTGAGGACGAGTGGTTGTGAGAAGGCTATTTGTCGAGGAGTGATGTGGTAAGTGATTGCAGCCAGCATCAATCGCATACCTCACTATGAGATTAGCACAGTACGTGTAGACCTGTACACTACGACAGTGAGGACGAGTGGTTGTGAGAAGGAAGGCTATTTGTCGAGGAGTGATGCGGTAAGTGATTGCAGCTAGCATCAATCGCATACCTAACTATGAGATGAGCACAGTACATGTAGACCTGTACACTACGACAGTGAGGACGAGTGGTTGCGAGAAGGCTGTTTGTCGAGGAGTGATGTGGTAAGTGATTGCAGCCAGCATCAATCGCATACCTCACTATGAGATTAGCACAGTACGTGTAGACCTGTACACTACGACAGTGAGGACGAGTGGTTGTGAGAAGGAAGGCTATTTGTCGAGGAGTGATGCGGTAAGTGATTGCAGCTAGCATCAATCGCATACCTAACTATGAGATGAGCACAGTACATGTAGACCTGTACACTACGACAGTGAGGACGAGTGGTTGTGAGAAGGAAGGCTATTTGTCGAGGAGTGATGCGGTAAGTGATTGCAGCCAGCATCAATCGCATACCTCACTATGAGATGAGCACAGTACGTGTAGACCTGTACACTACGACAGTGAGGACGAGTGGTTGTGAGAAGGCTATTTGTCGAGGAGT